TTAATCTCTTAAAATAACAGACTGATATCGAAAAGGTGGTTTACTTTTAGAGGTGACCTTTTTCTATGAGACTTTGAAAAAGGTCAGCACAAGTTGTTTTATATTTTAAGTATCTAGTACAATATATACAGAGTTTAAGCATTTAAGCCTCTTCGCCTGCCTTCCATACCCTTAATATCATGGCTTTTGGCATATAAAAAGAGACCCACAACTGTCTCTTGTTCAAAGCCCCATGTAGTCAGTATATCTATGATCTGGAAAAAAATCTCCTTGTGCATCTGGGGCATAGTTAAGTTATGCACATCATACTTTAGACGACAGAGCATTCAGGAAAATGAAAAATGTGTGCTTTGTGTTCTGCGTTCCATACATTATGCCAGTTAGCAACACAAGTCAAATCATCAACCTTGATTTGCTCATGTGTAACTCCCAACTTACTTGGAGACACTTGCTGCACATGCAATTTAGAGACAGTATAAATCTGCTGGCATTTGGACATGCACAAAGTAACTTCTGAAAATATGGTCTTTTATTTCATCTATCCAAGTCCACAACGCAGACATCAATTCCCAATGCACAGTGAACATTAGTATTGCTTATCTTAACACAGCACACTAAAAACACAGCAGGATGGCTGAATTGCTGCCTGGAACTGAAACCTCGACGTTTCGTTGGCCAGAATAGTGAAGACTTCCTACAAAATTGTATTTTACGTAGCATTAATTGAATAATGAATACATATTCTAACATACCAAATCACATACTACCATTAAGGTGAAGTAGTTTACATTGACTTGTGCTTCCATAAAATCTTAAATGTGACATACTTCATCTTATTTCACATTTAAAAATATTATGATTAAAATTGTAATATTTTCTGAATACTATACAAGATAAACCTGAACATCCTTTATATAGCTTCAGTAATACAAATAGCACTGATCAAGGGAGACTGGAAATGGAATGTAGATCATCATCTTTGAGTCTTGGTACAAATTTGGCCTATGCTGGTAATAAATATATATTATTATGATCTGAAAGGCTGTTCAATAGCCTCCATCAAGCAAAATGACTTTGTGGTCACTGATCAGTTTCTAGAGCAGTGATATTTAGACCTCAGTGGTTCAGGAACCGAATTAATGATCAACATTATCCAAAAGAGCCACAGTAGTAGCTGGCTGTCGTACTATATATTCATATTTAAACAGTATGACAGGGGAAATACACACACACACACGCTTTATTATATATATTATTTTCACAGCAAGTAAGTTAATAACTTAGTGCAAGTTGATAAATTAATTGGCTAATAAGATAACAAGAGCATCCTTACTGGTTAAGGACTTAGACTGGTTAATAATTGTATCAAACAGATTTTTAATATTTTGTATGGTGAGGACCCACAGGAGACACATTAAAGAGTCACTTGTGACTCTCAAGCCTCACCTTGAGAATCGCTGTTCTAGACAATACATAGCTAAAAATGTCACAGTTGGTTCTCATCAGTTTCAAAAGAGATGCCAAAGGACCAGATGGGCCTAAAGAGCTACTCTCTCACCAAACTAGCAGAACATCAGGAAAACAGGCCTTGCTGATGTCCCTGCTGTGTCTATTCCGTGGACAGCTAAAAGACTTTAGTCCTTGGGGCTGTTCAGTTGGCACTAGAGAAGTACTAAACATTTTTTTAAAAAGATAAACAAATAAAACGAGTGATTTAAGTTTAGTCAACACACATGCAAATAGACACCTGATTGCTAAGACCCAAATCAGTCTGAAAAAATCTACACAAGTTCTGAAGTAAAAGCATTTACAAAAACTGGCATATAAAAAAATCTGGCAACTGTTTCAAGAATCAACATGTCATGAAGGTAAACACCATGCAGATCTGATTCTCTACTGCCTATAAATGATTGCATATAATGAAATGTGTGAAATGTGAATGTAAAATGCTACCAAATCAGAGGGTGAAAGGCAGTGGAAAAGTGAAATGTGAATGTAAAATGCTATCAAATCAGAGGGTGAAAGGCAGTGGAAAATCAAATACTATATTTTAATGTGTCAGATGCCTAGGCTGTTACCCACAACTTCTATTCTTGTCTCTCACAAAGAACCCATCAGTTAATGCCTCATTTAACAATCAAGGCTATCTTTAAAGAACAAAAAATAAACAGATTTTGTTCACACCTGACAGAAATAGAGGCTAGTACCATGAAATAAATTATAAGCACCATATATACTTGCCTAGTTGGACACTTCAAACTGCCCCAGTAAGCAGCTTAAGTTACAGAAAGGGGTGGCACACAGCATGTTTTGAGACTGTGTATATCTTCTTATCCCAGTTCAGAGTATTGTATGGTCCCAAGGGTCCCAGAAAAGGCCATCCCCATATAATCAGGGTAATTGGCTACTCATTATATCATCTTCCAAACTAAAGCAGAATGGCAAAACCAGTCAGGATAACTGTAAGAAGATTCAACCTCTAGCTACACCACACTAGGGATATCAAATTCTGTTTAACCAGTTAACCAATTAAATGGAGCAGCAGAACTGCTCAGGTGGGCTGGAGCGCTCCTATCCGTGGCAGGAAGGGGACTGGTCCAGCTCCCACCAGTTAACCACAACTGGTTAAACATTCACATCTCTACACCACACTGTATAAGGCAAGGTATTCCTTTCACATTAATGTGTGGGCATTTTATAGGCATTCCACTATCACATAGAGAAAAAACTCTGGACAGAAACCACACAGACCAGAAAGATTATGTAGAACAAATACAAGAGAGACTAAAAATGTTAATAATACATATGGGTGAAGTTACCTGTGATGCTTCCCAATAACCAAGCCCATTGGTGGTATCGTTCTCTATTATACAGATTTAAATTCACTCTCCGATTGTCTTTCTCTCATAGCTGACCCAAGATTAGGCCTTAGAAAATTTACTGTCCTGAAAGCATTTATAATGGGTCCACCAAAGTACTTCTAATTAGAGATATCAGACTCAACTCATTCTTATTTGCCTATACCACGGGTGGACATACTTTTTGGCCAGGAGCCGCGAAAGAAGAGGCGGGGCCAGGATGCTTTTTGGGCTACCCCACGCCCAGACCATGATTGCCCCTTTGCCACTAGGCACCCATGCCCCTGGCAGGGCGGGAAGGGGCCTTACACTCTCCCCCATCCTCATGCCAATCAGGGCCTGGGGGCGGGGGAGTGCAGGAAGCCTCCTCCTGCCCTGCGAGGAGCACATGGCACTTTGAAGTGCCGTGCTCATCACAGGTACTGGGCAGGGTGAAAGAAGCTTCAAGCAGCTCCCCTGCACCCAGGTCCTGATTGGCCTGGGGGTGGGGGAGTGCACGAAGCCTCCTCCTACCCTACCCCCACTCTGCGAGGAGCACGCGGCACTTCAAAGTGCCGTGTGCTCCTCGCGGGGCGGAAGGAGGCTTTGCACACTCCCCCACCCCAAGGCCAACCAGGGCTTCAGGGCGGGGGGAGTGCATGACATCTCCTTCCGCCCTATGAGGAGCGTGTAGCACTTTGAAGTGCCGTGTGCTCCTCGCAGGGCGGGAGGAAGCTTTGTGGGCTCACCCGCCCCCAGGCCTCAATTGGCCAGGAGGTGGGGGAGTGGCAGGACCTCCGTGGGCTGGATTAACCCACTTGGTGGGCCGGATCCAGCTCACGGAGGCCCTTTTGCCCACCCTGGCCTATACCTTCAAATTCTGACCTTATTAGAGGATTATTTAGAAGATCTGTGTTAGAAGTCATCTTTTTATACCAACTGAATGGCTGGGACTCCTAACTTTATATTGGTATGAAGTATTGGTTTCTAGTTGTTATGGATCTTGAAATAGTAGCTGCTAAATCACATTGGAAGAGATATTGAGTGAAAAGGTAAAATAGTAAATCACAGTACAGTTATGTGATGTCAAGCTCAAATGTGTATCAGCTATACCGAGAAAGAAAAGAATATTATATATCTTTGGGAAACTGAGTTGTTTTCTGTCTTATCAGTTGTATAGAGCTTTAATTTTTAATCCAGGTGGTTCATGAAAGATCACACTGAGTCACATAATCATAGACTATTAGAACTAGAAGGAATCTCAAAAGATCAGTCCAGGCTCCTGCACTCGTGGACGGGACCCAGCACTGTCCAGACCATCCCTGAAAGGTGTTTGTCTAAACTGCTCTTAAAAATCTCCTATGACAGAGAATCCACAACTTCCCTAGACAATTTATTCCAGTATTTAACCATTCTGACAGAAGTTTTTCCTAATAGCCAACCTAAACTTCCCTTTCTGCAATTTAAACCCATTACTTCTTGTCCTATCAACAGGAGCTAAGGAAAATAATTTTTCTCCCTCTTCTTTGTAACAATCTTTCTGATACCTGAAAGCCATCATTACGTCACCTTTCAGTCTTCTCTTTTCCAGACTAAACAAACCCAATTCTTTCAGTCGGGTTGACTGAAAGAGTTGATAACAGTCTTTCCATCTAATAATGCTTTTAGCCATGGATCTGGGAATGATTAAATGGCATAGCAAATCTGAAATTGGTGTCACTTTCATTTACTAAATCTTAATGTTTACAAGTGGTTAGAGATCTCTGTATAAACTACAGTAGAGAGGCAATGCATTAGCCTTCTAAAGTATACATACACTTTAAAAGTTCCTATTAAATTATAGTTGCTGCCTGAATGATCCTTGTGCAATTCATTGGCTTAGCGCCAGTGATCGTGACTCTCTCTAGCGTCTGAGCTGAAGGATTATTCAGCCTACTACAATTCACAAAGTTCTCCTCAGGTCTTATGTTTTTATGCTAAAACTCCTCAATTTGCTCTCTGCAGAAAAGGATGATATCTGTATGTATGAAGCCATAGTTCATTAGGCCTGATTATGAAAACAAATTTTACATACAAGAATTAAACAATTAGTAAAAAAATAAATATATCTGGCAACCACTCATACTGATTTAAACGGGTAAAATTTCAAACTCGATACAATACCTGAATTTCCAAAGATCACATCCCATGGTGAACTGATGGGCTGCTCCTCTCCTTTTGCTCCACCCTCCTTGTCTGTGCCTTGTGTTCCAATGCCTGCTACAGTATTCACCCTCTCTAATTCAAGGTCAATCTATGAAGAAAAAAGGTAATATATACAATGATTTGACAGGTGGTGATACTGGCTTTTTCCTTAGCTAACTGACCTAGATGTCTAAGTGTATCTACACAGCAGCAGGAGATGAAATTTTCCACTTGGGCAAGCACACCTGTGCTAACTCTCATAGCGTTAGTGCACTAAAAACAGAAATAACACTGTGGTTTTGTAATATGCAAAATGGGCTAACCATTCTATATATATATATATATATATATGGTTTCATATAGAACCATTCTTATGGGTGATTAGCCCACTCCACTTCACTGCTCATGCCATGGATGTTTCACTTCTACTAATTTAACATGATAGTTTGATCAGGGCTAGAGCAATTATGTCTACAGAAACTGGGAATTATACCTTTAGCTTCAGTATAGCCTTGCCATAAAATAGAGTCTGAAATGTAACAAGTTGCCTACAGACAGAAACTGACTGCCTATTTGAGTGTCAGGCATTTTACAAGACAATTAACAGTTGTGCTAAAATGGTAGTCTTATTGAAAAGCCTCAATTTATTATCCATCTGTACCCAAATGACCTGCCTGTCATGATTAAGCCAAGGCATCTAAAGAAATATAATCATCTTCTTTAGAAAAGAGAGTGGGTAAACAAAGGACACTTATGTTTTAGTTTTAAATAAAATTCTAATATTGTGTTTTTAAAAAACACACAACAAAACATAGCATGTATCATAGAGCTCGTCTAGACTACATTCCTCTGTCGAAAGAGGAATGTAAATGAGCCTGATCGAAAATGCAAATGAAGCATGGATTTAAATATCCCGCGCTTCACTTGTATACTTGCATTCGATTGCTGTTTCGAAAAAGGGTTTTTCGAAAGTGACATCACACTCTAGACGAGGTTCTTTAAAAAAAACCCTCATTTTTCGAAAGAACCCGTATTCCTGAAAAAATGAGTCTAGACTGCGGTTTCACTTTTGAAAAACCCTTTTTCGAAACAGCAATCGAATGCAAGTATACAAGTGAAGCGCGGGATATTTAAATCCATGCTTCATTTGCATTTTCGATCAGGCTCATTTACATTCCTCTTTTGATAGAGGAATGTAGTCTAGACGAACCCATAATGTGCAAAGTAAATGATTTTCTACAATCTACTATATATTTTGGTGAGTTTATCTGTATGTCTGTTTGTCCCCCCAGCTGGGAGACATGCATCCCTCTCCCAGCTGTGCCTGCAGCAGCTGAAGTAGTCATGGACAGGCGCTTCTCACCTAGTCCCAAGCTGCTGTGGCAGGAAAATGGGATGTGCCTGAATGGGATTGCTTCTCAGAAAACCCATACAGAAGAGACAGAATCACAAAGCAGGTGAAAAGGGCTGGCTAGGGTCTCCCTCCTCCCCACGTTCACTGTCCAGGACTGCCCTAGCCCTGAGTCTCCCAATCTCAAGTGCCCTGTAAGGAGGCTGTCATGAATGGGAGCTGCAAAGGGGAGCCTAACTTGCCTGGAGAGTGAGGAAAAGGTTAAGCTAACCGTAAGCTATTCTGCACCTGAGGGAGAGGGCTGGGCATTGAGCCAATGAAATGCAGCTTAAGAATTTCAAACTGGGGGAAGCGGTCTCCTTTGCATGTGTGTGAGAGAAAAATCTTCTCCAGACACAGAGGGAAGAAATGAACTCCCCCCAAAAAGATCCCCTGGATTCCTCAGAATGTGTGAGTAGGAAAACGTTTAGGTAATCCATCAGGTTTATTGTTTTTCTTGTTTGGGGTTTGGAAATTGTGTGTGAGCTAGTTAACTGTCATCTGTTTTTCTCTCTTGGAATCAAGAATTAATCCCAGGGAGAATCCCTGAATTTTGTTTCAATACATGACTTTTTAACATCGTTCACTATGCTTGCAACAATAGTCTTGTTTTAATAATAAAAGTGTTTTCTTTTTTTTTGTTTTGTCAACCAGTATTGCTTGATCTTGTGTGTCCTTAAACTTAAGTACCTGACTGCAGACATGTTACTGGAGAGAGGGCACAGGTTCATTGGTCTCTGTGACAGAGTGCTTGTTTGTTTTTCCAACTCCTTAATGAAAGGAGGTTGGGGAGTTTTGCCCTCAGGGAAGAGATTCCAAGTGATTTCTTCCTGGAAAAAGATTTGGACACTTGGTGGAAGCAATACTGAATGGATTTCAGGGGAAACTGAAATCAAGAAAACTTATTTTTTGTCTCTAGGAATTGCAGACACACAAGGTGTGACAGTGTTTTTCTTTTTCTAGCTGGCACCCATTACCTACACTCGGAATGCCAGGTTGGAGAATTCAGCTGTGACAGAGGCAAGATGGATGAATCCCTCTTCCCTATCCTCCTGCCCCGATTCGTACAGGAACATCACTGGTTGTTCCCCTTCGTCAAGGAGTGAGGGGAAAGTGTAGTTTGCTGTAGGGATGTTAGATAGTGTGTAATGCAATACTTGTGTAACCGCATGAAATGTTAGTGGTTACACAACTATTCGATAGTCCTTCCGTATCAGAGGCAACAGTATGAGGTCACAGGCAGGAACTGGTCTGCAATGGGAGCCAGTTTAAAAACTGGCTTCCCACAAAGATTGGCTCCTGCCTACCGCCCCTCACTGCTGCCTCTGATGAGGCAGCAGCATGGGGTGGCAGCAGCCCCAGTCTGCAGGGGGTCTGAGCTCCAGAGCAGCCTCTGTCTGTGGGGAGCTCAGACACTCCACGGACAGAGTTGCTGTTGCGGAGCAGCCTCTGTCCATGGGAAACCTGGGCCACATGAGGGGACGGGGGGGAAGGCGGCACCGTGGAGCTGATGCTGGGGGAACCGGCTTTTAAGCTGGCTCCTCCCAGCACTGTCACCTGCCTGCCCCCACCTCTGTAGGAGGCAGCAAGGGGGTAGGTCCACAGAGCTGGCATGTGTGGGGAGACTGCTTGAAAGCCGGTTCCCCGTGTGTATCAGCTCCTACCTGCCTCTCTCACCCTTCGCGCTGCTACCTCTCTATCAGAGGCAGTGGCACGGAGGTGGAAGAGGGCAGGTAGATCCAGTGCTTGGGCACCAGCTCCCATTCTCACCCCCCCATTGACTGATACAGAGACAGCAAGAGGGGTGGAGTACGTGTAGTTGACAAGATTAACTGATAAAGCCCATGCTCATCGGTTAATCGTGTAGTCGTCTACATGTTGACATCTGTAGTTTTCTGCATTCCTTACTCTGGCTAGAGAGCACAGGGGGAAAACAAACGTAGAATTGCCCCAGCGGGGGTACATGCATCCCTCCCCCATGGAGAGGCAATGATTTAAATGAAGCATGTATATTTTCATTTTATTTTCCAAAAAAGAAAAATTAATTCAGTTAAGGACCTGAACAATGCTGGGTAAATCTTCTAATAATAATATAAACGATTAGTTCTGGCTTGTTCCTCTATTGTATAGCTCTACAAACACTATCGACCCATTCTACCACAGCACCACACCACAGGTATGCAAAAATCTGATGTTAGGTTTGTAATTTAAAATGAAGGGAAAACAATTTCTATAGTCATAACTAACACTGGATATTTCTCATAGCGAATTAATACGCAAATCATGGGATTGTCAGGACCAATCATGTGTGCAGCCTTTTATTGGAAAAAATGTCATGGCACAAATTATTTCAATTACTACTACATTTTCAATTTAAAAAGTATTAAATTGCTGTAATTAATTGTTTAAAAGCATTTAATTACAGCAAAAGTGGACATAGTTTCCTTAAAAGAAATTGGCCAAAATATTTGTTTAGTTACTGAAAAAATACTGGGCCATATTCTGTTCTCAGTTACACAGCATAATTTGTGAATAATTTCTTCGATGCCAATTAGCATCTGTGCAACTGGGAATAGAATTTGGATTGTTATCCCTTACCTTGCTTTTAAATGTAAATGTTACCTTTCTAATCAGATGGTTTTCTGTATCAGCTACATAAATAATGTTATTCTTTATAGCCACTCCTTGCGGTGAATTGAATGCTGCTTCTGAAAAACTTCCATCCTTTCTCCCACTGTTTGGTCCTAAACACATACAAACCAAATGAGTAAGATTTCACACCAGAAAAAAAGAAAACAGTAAAGAATCACATGTACAATTATTTTACAGATTTAAACATTTTCCAGAAGGTGCTTTTGCAGCTCAACACACAGTTCAGTTTTTTTTAGATCTCTTCTGTATAGTTTCATTTTAGAATCATTTTGCTGTGCAACAGCAATGACACAGTTTGATATGCTGCTTTATTCTTTTTCCTCAAATTCTAAGCATACATGGGTTCTCCACTCAAGCAATAATCACAATATCTTTTATTGGAATTCCAAATCTCTTCTCTTCTCTTGTATTCAGAAGACAGTTTCAGAAAAGTCATCCCTCAGGATTTTAGTCCTGGTTACATCAAACTAAAGCAAACTAGCTACAAACTAGTTCTTTACTTTTATTTTCTTCACTCATTTAGTGTTCTTGAGAAGATGAAAATCGAACTAAACAGTTTTTGATCTATTTGTTAGCAACAAAGAGGTATGGCACTGTATATAAAGGGTAGCATGATAAGCACAGGGAAGAGCATCATGATCTACATAGAGAACGGCAAACTTAAGTATCGTATGTTACAATGAAAGACAAAGTACATTGTAATATGAATTTATTGCAGCTGTCATGGTAAGACATTTCTACGTACAATGTAATAATAGTGCATCACGATTTATGATGCAAATTCAGTTATTTTAACCTCACTGGATACCAACACTTATTACTGAATTATAATCTTTACTTTATTGTTTTCTGCCCACACCTCTTTTACTGAGTCACTAAAATACATTTTTTATTAACTTCTACCTATAAATTGTAAGGTGACAGTTTTGGGTTTACAGACAGCAAAGATGAGGATTTCACAATGTAAAAATTAACTTGTTTTGCAGACTCAAGCTCAAAAAGTACTTGTATGCAAGACCTTCAGGGAACTGCACAGGATGACAGGAAGTGGTCTTATTGATTAAATAGATAGTATTCTTCTCTTTGATTCACTATTCAATGGATAATCCAACATCATATTAAGGAACACCTTGCTGTTGGAGATGCCATCTTACAGATCAAAAACATTCTTACAATTGATCATATGAATTCACCTAGCAGCTTTCACAACAGCAGAGGTATTGATGTTGGTGTCTTGGTCAGATTTTTTAACTTGGATAATTATGCTCTGCCTTCTTAATCTACTTTCATTCATGTAAGGGTCTTGTTTTTAAAACTTTAGTATTACTGGCATTGTTTAATAGCTTCAACATCCTACCATGAAATAGGTGTTATTCAATGGCACATTAATTGAAAAAATCCATATAAGACCAAAGTCCTCTGATGTCAACAGAAACTTTTAATTGATGTTAATGGTTTTGCATCAGATCCATAGCAAAATCTGTCAACAGTAGTTGTCAGTAGGATTGCTTATAGCTGGGCTGCTATAAGCATGGCTCTGTTAGGCTGTGAGGGAGCCAGTATCAGCTCAGCTGGGCTGGGAAGGGGTTGGGAATTGGCATGGGGAGGTGGCAGAAGGCGGCCTGAAATGACCTCCCCGGGATTCAGAAAAATCCCTCAACTGTGACCAGTCAGGTCCTGAGAGTGCCAGACCAGGGAGGACCAACCTGTAATGAATAATCAGTTTCACAACTGTTTGTAGACAATTTCTAGTCTTTTAGGTTCCTGTGCAACAGCACAAGGCTGCAATGAATTTGTTGCAGACACTACATAAGAATGTTAAAGAGCAATGCTCCTAGGGAATCCCTACTTAGCAGGTGGGCCAACGATTCCGTTAAAAAGAAATGTATCATCAGCATATTAAGTGGGCTGAGAGAGGTGTTAGTATCTCACCTCTTTTCCCTGGCATACCCACTCCCTTTCTGTGGATTCCATCTTTTTGGCATCCAGGAAGGAGTGACACATTAACTGCTATCTGGAGGTTCAGCACCATGTACACAAAGTGATCTATAACTAGTAACTGTCTGTGCAGATTCAATACTCTATCTGTATTGAATATTGACATTAATATAAAAAAGTCAAAGTTACTCTAACAATTAGAATCATGAAGTATGTTAAACAAGTATATTCAAACAGTCTGATACAGATTTGTTCTAAAAGTTATTTTATTACTCAAAAACTATTTGACAAAGAGTTGCAAGAAAAGTGCTTAAATCAAATATTGAAAAATCTGCAATTAATTCCAAATGTTTACAATATGCTGAGCACTGAACACAAAGAATGCACAGATTTCTCTGAAGACACAAATATGACCCTAAGAAACTTACGTAACTATTACCTCCAATGGTGTGTAGAATATGCCCATTTTTCCTGACAACCAAAATCCTGTGATGTCCAGTATCAGCAATCACGAGCCTATCCCCTGAATTGTCTACAGTCACTTTGCCAGGAAACAGCAAGGCAGAAGAAGGCAGAGAGTCTCTGTACAACTTTGTTCCAATTTTGTTATCTGTGATTTGTCCTTTCTCTTTGTAGAACTTTAGCGCAACAGAAGTAAATAAAAATAATTTATCTTTGTGCCCCTCTCCAACAAGAGAAAACAGCATATTTCCACGAGGCCCAAGAATGACCAGAGTTGGCCAACAAGACACATCTAGTTCATGCCAAAGCGTTGCATCAGCATCATTTACCACAGGGTGGGTAATGTTATATCGAAGAACAGCACTTTTAATGTTACTAAGAACCTTTTCATTTGGGAACTTCGCTGAATGGACACCAACAATCAGAAGGCCATCTGAAAGCAAAAAAACCCAAACATAGTATTTATAACAAAACATGCTTGCATCCAAATAAGTCTGAATAAGAAATTAAATAACAAGTACAGTCCTACCTTACAAAAATGCAGTAATGGAAAACTACATTCTAAAATTGTTAATCAAACTTACCACAGAAATCTGGAACTAATAAACAATTCTTTCAAAGTTACCAAAAACATAGTACAAAATGTATGTACTATTGAGATACTAGGGATGTAAGCGACTAGTCAACTATCCAATAAGTATATGCTTATTGGATAGTCATCTAGTTGCTCGACTAGTCACTCCCCCCCTCCGTTACTGCCTCTATCAGAAAGAGGCAGCAAGGGGATGGAGGGGAAGCAGGAGCCAGTGCTGGGGGGAGCCAGCTTAAAAGGGGGGGGGGAGAAGCACAGGGGTGCAGTGGGGAACTGGCGATGCTTCCGCTTTTGAAATGTAGCAAAAGCGGGGCTCTTGCTATGTTTCAAAGCCGGATATGCCCTTATCAACTAATCAAATAGTCAAAGAAAATTCCACAGACTAATCAATTAGTTGATTCATCTAAATTTAGCATCCCTATGACATACTACAATAGTCCATGTTTTTAATGTTTGTTGAAACATATGAGTTTAAGAAATAGGGAGGATTAATACATAGTCATAGAAATCAGCTAAACACCCAAACTGCCTCCGATTTTTCCATAAGAAAAAGATAACAGTCTTGATACCCTAAGAGAAAAGGTTCTATAGTTATTTTTATAATTCAGCTATTGTACACCAGCAGCCACTCTAATACCTCCGTAAATAAGATGGAAACAATCAGTCACCTCTCTCAAGTTTGACTACTTTTTCTATGCTTTCATAAAATTCAAAAGCAAGTTTTTCATTTCTAGTTAATTTTCTTTTTGTGACAAAGGCCAAGTTTACTTAGTTCTATTATACTTGGCACTTAAAGAAGATGTTCCCCTCCTGTCAGAAAGAAAGAAAAAGAACCTTAACTTTTTAGTAATCTTCCAAGGAACAAAGAAACTTTTAATTTACCATATTTTGTCAAGGAACTGTTACAGAAAGATCAATATTAGTGTCAAAGGTTCAGTTTATGTCCTTATTATGTACCATTTCTGAATACCTTTAAATTGCAGGACACAACTATATATACAGGCAGTCCCCGAGTTACGTGGATCCGACTTATGTCGGATCCACAGTTACGAACGGGGCTTTTCTCGCCCTGGAAGACTGGAGCGGCGGGATGCCCAGATGCGCTGCAGTCCCGCCGCCCCCGTCCTCCGGGGTGAGAAAAGCTGCTCCACGTCTCCCTAGTCTGCTGGGGGGGGAACCCCCCCCCCAGCAGACCAGGGAGATGCGGAGCAAAGCCGCGGAGCACGCCTGCAGCGGGACAGCCCGGGCGCGCCTGGGCTGTCCCATTGCGGGCATGCTCCAAGGCTTTGCTCCCCGTCTCCCTGCAGACCAGAGAGAGGCAGAGCAAAGCCGCGGAGCATGCCCGCAGCGGGACAGCCCAGGGGCACCTGGCCTGTCCCATTGCGGGCATGCTCCAAGGCTTTGCTCCCCGTCTCCCTGCAGACCAGAGAGACGCAGAGCAAAGCCGCGGAGCATGCCCGCAGCGGGACAGCCCAGGCGCGCCTGGGCTGTCCCGCTGCCCGTGTGCTCTGTGGCTTTGCTCCACGTCTCCCAC